GGACCCAAGGAAGGAAAAAAAATTCAAATTATGTGAGCACACATGTATGTTTATACATACCCAAATCCCTATTCTTTCACACCCCCTTCCTTTTACAGGTAATTCTGCATGTTGTACATTGAAAAACACCAGTGCAGTCTTCTTGATTATATGCCAGTACTTTTCTAATCTCTCATTCAGATACCACCCATCAATACAATGTCACAGTGTCACATATGCTGAAGTCTAAGCAGTGAATTAAATTAATTGACTGCACTACGTTTATAGAGATTATTCCCAGGAATTAGGTTTGCTTAAAAGCTCAGTTTAAGGAAGAAAACTCATTTATTGCTGAGACAGAAGTTATTCCTTAAACTTGTGTGTTCCCATACAGCAGGTCAGATCTGTCACTGGAATAAGTGGAAGCCCAAAACCACAAGGAACTTTCATTTTGAAACCAGTAGGTGTAATTTTTGTACTGAGTTTTCAAATGTGTAATGGTCCTTGTACAGCTAAAGCATTTCAGGTGTTGGATGCCTCAGACTACAAAGGTACTTGGTACTTCAGGTGCAAGCAAAGTGAATATCACAGCACTGAAATAATCTACAGCAATCATCATGTTGCACACACTGCACTGTCAGGGACACCCTGTCCCTGAGAGTTTAATAATCCAAAATGGGACCTACACTAAACACTAATCAGGAAATCATCCATGATCGCCAACAGGAAAAAGCTATGGACAAAGCAATCCTCATTAGCTCATCCTTGTCCAAGAAACTAAAGCCTTTCAAAAGCTGAACCAAGAACTGAAATCCTGTTTCCCTTCTCCATAACACAGATCAACACTCACAACACTGACAGAGTTTGGGCTAAGACAGAGTTCCGTGGATAGAGATGTAAATCCATACCTACTGCGTCCACCCTCTAAGGAATGTCATCATTGCTGGGCTACAGAGTGTGTCATATGAGGGCTACAGACATGATGGCTTTGTGGAAAGAAGGAAACATCTCCCATTCCAGATAATTTTTAGCCTAATACTCTTGAAGTTGAAAAATAAGCCTAAACCCCTTCCAGCCCAAGAAAACAAATTCCCTGCTATCCTGAGTGAATCCTCAAGGTATCAGAAAACCAAAAAAACCCTATTCTGTACAGTTCTGTACAGCAGGCAGATTCAGAGGAGGTGCAGACAAGCACTTTGGATAGATCCTGGGTGCTCTGGAAGCACCCAGCTCCTCTGAACAGAGAAGTGACAAAGCACTTCTGCATATTAGGAGGAGGATAAGAAGGCACAGTCACACCGGAACCATCTTCCAGGCTTTGCTCATTTTGACACGAGGCCAGTGTCAGAAGTACAGGTTTCTGGTCAGCCACGGGGGAAGCCAGCAGAGCCAAGTTGAGATGGAATTCCGTGAGAAGGACAGGGATGGGGCTGCAGCTCCAGGTTGAGGATAGAAAACATAAGCAGATCCACTGATAGCTCATTTGTTTCTCAGCTTCACTGAATGCCTTTGCTGTTAAAGCCATGGCAACACAGGAACAATTTCACACTCCTTGTTCATTTTGCCTCATTCACTGTAGCCCTCCCAGGGAAACTAAAAGTACAATCCAGTTCATTTTCAGAAAAGTGAAGGTCAGAAAAGAAACCTCTACCAAACTATTTTCTTTCTAGCAGCAATAACCTTCAGCAAACAGAATTAAATTGCCACGAACTTGTTATCCCCAACAAACAAGTCTGCTGGAGTCCAAAAGGAATAGAGAGCCACTTTCAGCAGAGCAAATGCCTGGTGTCCACTGCCTCCACTTCTGCCCGTCAGGGCCAAAGCTTACTACTGCAAATATGTGTGTTTTTTACAGAATTTTTAACAGATGAATAGATTCCAGTAATCAGTATAACCGGTTTTCCATAATGAGGCCTGATTATCATCTCCGTACTACCAATGAGCAGCTGCTGCTGGCTGGTACAAACTTTCAACAATGCCTTACTGCGCTTGCTCAATTACTTTTCCAGTTCATCATCAGCAAGTTTCAATAAGTTTATGTCATGTATCACATACAAAGTTTTTAAAAAAGCTGGAAAAATAAGTATTACATATAATTACGGTAGTCTGGCCTAGTGTCTATTTGCAGAGGACATGCTCACAACTGTTCAGTAGGAAAAGAACTGTTTCAAATGAGATTCTGCAGGTCCCTTCTGCCAAGACTCAAAAAAATCAGAAGCATCTGCCCTATAATCAAATAAGGAAGTTAAGCTATAATGAGCTGCTTCAGATGGTTACAATTTGCAGCAATCCTAACTTCCACCGAGTAATCACTGATTACCAGCAGCCTTCACTGAAGTCATCCCAGAGTATTTTTATTAATGATATGAGCTATACATATCAACAATTTATGCCAACATCACTCCCAATTACCTTCTCTCTGAATAATGAGTTATTTTGATACCGATATTAACTTGTTTTTAGTTGAAAATATTACTGTTGCACAAATGGTCAGGGTAATACAGAAATGCAAAGTTGACCTTGAAAAACTTTGAAAAGCTCTCATTGAGATTAAGTAACAATGAATGCAAGGTTATACCATTCGAAGAAAAACAGAAATCAGCTATTTGTCTGAGTAGTTTCTGATGTTACAAACACAAAATGTCAGGATCTTTTATTTTTTCCATGTTCCAGGACCTGGAGTTACAGACTGGAAAGCTCAAACCCTAAGGTGAGCCGGTGCTTGCTGTACATGTACTTGCTGCACATCCTTTGTGTGCCCAGAGAAGGGAACAGGAAGTTCAGCCTGGAGAAAAGGAAAATCTTCTCACTCGCTACAACTCCTTGACAGAAGGATATAGCCAGGTGGGGTTGGTCTCTTCTCCGAGGTTACAAGAGACAGGATGAGAGGAAAGGGCCTCAAGTTGCACCAGAGGAGGTTTATTTTAGATATTAGGAAAAAATTCTCCTCTGAAAGGGTGGTCCAGCACTGGAACAGGCTGCCCAGGGAAGTAGGGAAATCCCCATTCCTGGAAGTGTTCAAAAAACACGTGGATGTGGCACTTGTGGTCATGGTTTAACTATGAGCAAGGCAGTGCTGGGTTAATGGTTGGACCCAATAATCTTTAGGGACTTTTCCACTTTAAATAATTCTATTATTCTATTCCCAGATTTCTACAGAGCAGGAATTGAAAAAGCCAGCTGGCACTTAATTGCCACCTTTGGCAAACAACAAGGAGTTCATCTATTGCTCAGATAGATACAAATCTCCATTTTACAAGATTTCATCTGACATTGAAGAAGAAACAAAACTTGAAGCCATATTACTAAAGGACATCTTGAAAACCAGCTATATAAAGGTGTGAGATAAAGTTAGGCAAGATACAAAGTATTTTGTAAGACCATTTGTGTATTACAGGGTGACCTTGATTTCTGTTACCAAGGGCCCTCGACCCTGAACAAAATACTTGTTAGGATGATCCTCCCTCCAAGAAATAACAACTTGAGTATTAAACACATAACACAGGAATATATTCTAGTATGTACTTGCATACCTCAAATTATAATATAAATGTCCGTGAAGTAAAAAGAGTAATACAATCCATAAAACTTGGAAGAGAATAATCAGACTCCTTCTTCCAACAATGTATGATATTCCCTACTATACTCTGAAGTGCAGACTAGGATTTTCACTCTCTCTCCACAAAACATTTTAACTTTACCTTCAAGTAAGTTATTTTAGCTGAGTAATTTCAGAGTTCTCCACGGTCTCTCTGGATATCAGAAGCACTTCATCAAGAGCTCCTCTTTGACTCTAAACTGCAGATTATGCTATGTTCAACTGAGAGCCATAGATATAAAATTAAGACTTTGAGCTGGCCTTCTTAATTTTGATTATCTAAAGCTGGTAATATAAAGAATTTTGGAAAGAGAGGTGACTTTAATTGTAAAGATTGGCTTTATGGCACAGAATGTTCTTTTTCAAAGGTCCCAATGCAAATCATATACTCTTAAAAAGAACAAGGTTGCAGAGTTCCCCATGCAGGTCTTTAAATCTCTCTCACATGAAGGTGAATTTGGAAGGTGCCAGTGTGATAAAATGCAACAGCTGTCTTCCCCAGAACAAGCCAACAGTAGAGCCCGGCTTTGTTACCTGGTCCAGCCCTATGTAATGCTGCTCATTTACACAACGAAAGAGTTTGTCAAAGAGGTTGAGATTTTTCTTCATACCTTGCATGAAAGGATTTATTTTATAAGACATTAAGTGTCTTGGAGGACTGGTTGTGTTTTAAGGCTTCACTTGTCAGCAACTATTTTACTTCTAACCAGATTGGGGAGGCAGTAATGGGGGCAGACAACACCATCACCATCTTCCTTTGGTATAATTACTTTGATGAAATTTACTGAGCATTTGATTCAGTGCATTGCAGAAAAAGCTCCTGAATTTAAGATTGTTTCCTGCTAAACAAGCATATAGAACATACACTGACAGCAGAAAAAAAGGCCAGCTTTGACAGCTATTTTGCTACAGGACACTTCATTCTTCAAAGCTACATATAGCAGCATGATAGAGTTCTGATGAAAGCAAGAGCAGGTAATGTGATATAAAATATGCATGAGTATAAAAGTGCACTGCCATGGGTAGGCTCTGTATAGTGTGTTTCATGTTTGACAACATGGTCTGATACAAGCAGAAAGAAAACAGATGACAACAAAAATACTGCCTAAAATCAAGATTATTTTGGGTTTTTTTCCCTTTAAGTAAGAGCAGAAATAGGGTGCTAAGGATGTGCAAAAACCCCACCTACCAAATTAATAAAAGAGGACAAAGAAAAAAAAACATAAGGACAAACACAGCTCAAAACTTCCAGCTCCCTCCTCACAGTTCAGTACTGCTCCCAGTGTGTTACATTAGCTTAGCCACTCCATTTTGTAAAGATGCTGTCACCTGATATTAAAAACTCAGCATTTGCTGCCAGAGCAATTTGACAATGGCCTCCAACATTTATAAATATCGAAGACCCTTTTTTTTGCATAATTACCTTGTGAAGTCAGTCATCTCCATCATAATCACACACATCCTCTTGGCCAGAACAATTATGTCATTGCTGGTATCATCCCATATTTCAATCTCAGCATCAAGCTTACTCTTGACTTTTTTGAAATCAGCCACTTGCTCAGCTATCTTTTCCTTTTCAGCCTCTGGCAGTTGAGTCATCTTGGCCTAAAACATAGAATATTTTTATTAGTAAAACATCCATGTCAGAGCATTTTTCTTGTTTAAAACAAAACTGCTGTACATTATTAAACATATAGCTTAAAACCACTGTGGCTTGAGCCAACGGCTCGAGTTTGAGCACTTCTAAGTTTCAAAATCTTTATGCTATCATTTGTCTGTGCCAAATAAATTACCTCAGTGTGATGGGGTCAGTGGTGTTTGTGAAACCATTAATATTAACATAGCAAGAGAAAGATGAATAAATTCTTCCAAAGAGCCTTAATGAAATATGACTGACAGTTGCTCCTATTTCTTAGGGTTAAGGAGCCTAAGTGTTTTTAAGTATGATATATGTGCAAGATACAAAATGCAGTATTAATTCAGATAGGAAATAATCAATGAAAAGGGCTAATTGTCCTAGAACTTTCAGGTATGCATGTTCTCTCTTCTGAGAAGGTTCTACATTACCATTTGAAGAGCCAAAAAAGACTTAATTGTTCAAAGATGGATATTCAGTCTTTGCAGAAGATAAACAGATGAACACATCAGAAATCAGTATGTGAATAAGGTTACCAAAAACTCCTGAAAATGGTGAGTGAAATATTTTACTTAATGTTCTTCTTCACGACCAAGATCATCAGCCTTCTCCATACAAGGGTCAGATAAACCTCCTGTGTCAGGCACTGGCCAGGAAGCAGACAGGGGCCAAGATATTATGTGGCCACATGGAAGTCCTGGCCCTTCATAATACCCCTGGAAGCAGTTGGTCTTGATGGCTCTACTGCCATTGTGGTTCTTATCCAGCACCTTCCCTGAAAAGTGGTCCCCACCAGGAATTCACAACTACATGCAGCAACAATTAACACACTGAAATTACTCTGCAATTAAACAATAAATATTTTGTGACTTATTCTTGTTTATAAAACATTATCTACCATCAACAAAATGGAAAGTTAAAGCAGTGAATTACTTATAATTAGTATAACAGGCAATCAGCCTTACATGTAATGCAGATGTTTTTCAAGCCATGTCTTTTCAGAGATCTTATTTATGCTATAATCACACTGGCACAGGGTTAATTTTCTCATTTATATAAATTACTGAAAATTACAGGTTTCCTAACATGTAGCTATGTTATAATTGCAGTCACAGAATCACAGAGAATCACAGAATGGTTAAGGGTGGAAGGAACCACCACATACAGTGGTCAGAATTACCCTACTGTCACAGACTTAGAAAGTGGAACTATTTTGAGGACTACCTCTCTTGTTTTGTTAAAAAAACCCCACATAACTAAATAGACCAGAGACACACTTTCCTCATGGTGGTAGGATAGGCTTGCTGGGCGTGCTGTTTTTTGGCTGGGGTAGTTAATTTTCTCAACAGTAGTTACTGTGGGCTTTTTGGGATTTGTGCTGGAACCCATGTTGGTAAAATAACCATGTTTTTGTTATTGCTGACCAGAGCTGACACAGAGAAAAGGCTGCATCTGCACCTCACCCCACCCCACCAGCACAGAGGCTGGGGGGACACAAGGAGCTGGGAGGGGACACAGCCGGGACAGCTGATCCCAACTGACCCAAGGGATACCCCAGACCACATGGGGTCATGCTCAGCACATAAAGCTGGGGGAAAAAGAAGGGAGGGAGAACATTCAGAGTGATGGTGTTTGCCTTCCCAAGTCACCATTATGCTTGATGGAGCCCTGCTGTTCTGGGGATGGCTGAATGTAGGAGGTGGGACCAGCAGAAGCCTGCAGAGAAAGGAGCCTCTAGCAACAACAGCTGCCCAGAACTGCCTGAGACCCAGCTACAAGGAGCAGCCTCACAGACCTCTGCAGGATTCCCCCCTCCTGTTCCCCCAAGACCACACCTTCCCTTCCTCCCTAGCTATCCCTTCCCCCTGAATAAATAGACATATCCCGATAGGCCTATCTCTCCAAGTCCCCTTATCAGAAACCCTCTGGATTTGATGTTTCCTAGCAGAAACCCACCCCTGTACCAGAACTTTCTGTATCCCCCTGTATATAAACTCTCATCTTGTGTTAATAAATGCCATTTTGTGGGTCACATATCTCGTGTGTGTGTCCCGTCTCCCAATGCAAAATGTGCCTTGAGGTCTTGCAGCAGGTCTCCCCGAAACCTGCAAGAGATGGCGCTCTCAACGTGGAGCAGAATCCACCCTTCTTATATTAAGAAAGGTCTCTGTTCACTGGAGCTACTGGCGGATTGGGTTTCCGGAGCCCAGTCTGCCCCTAAGACCTCACTCACTCTAGCCATTTCATGAACACCACGTTCACACAGTCCCCTTCGTCGCAGCTACGTGAGACACCGGTCCCAGGACAGCCAGCGCCGAAGACACAGACGTCGCGCCCGCCGGGACCCCCCACCCCGCAGCTGTGACCCCGCTTCAGGACCTGACCGGTACTTGCAGCACTGCCTGGGGGATAGTGAGTGAGTGAACCAACCTCCCTTTTTACCTTAAAAAATGGGAAACAAACTCTCCAATATGGAAAAGACAAAACGGAGTTTCAAACTTTTCTCCCCACAATTGAAAAACAAACAGAAAAAAACCCAACGGGAGAAATCGGAGCCACAACAGGCTCAAACCCTGATTCCCCTTCCCCCTGCCGCCCGGCCACCTCAGCCTGAGGAGAAGCTGCACTGCGGTCAGCCCTTCCCCCGCCCCGCAGAGCCGGGATCGGCGCCGGCATCACAGCATCCCCTGCCCCCCCGAGCCGCGGACACGAACAAAGGCAGAAGCCACGGCAGGAATGCAGATTCCCACCACCCCCCCAAGCCCTTTCAGCCCTGGAAACGGAGCGACCCCCGCCCCAAGCCTTTCCCAACAATGCAGACGCGGCGGCACCTCGGCAGGGGCCCCGGGAAGGACAGTGGGGGGAGAACAAACACAGAGACGGTGGGGGGATACCACGGGGCGGCCAAGATGGTGAAAGAGAGAACAAAGAACCAAGAAAACCGCGCAAAAACTTTTCTGAACTACACAAAAAAAGGGAGGGGGTCGAGAGTGGGCGGAGACACAGAAATTATTCACGCCTCCTTCAAATGTCCCGGCAAACTCCTCCTTCCTGTGGGGGACGAGTGAGTCAGCCCCAGAAGCTCCAGCCTTCTCACGTGACCCAGGGGGAACTCCCTCCAGCCCTCCATCACATGACACCGAATGTCATGGCTGCGTCCAGGAAATTCAAGCACCAGCGGCACCGCTGCAACATTTGGTTCCAGTCCCAGCTCAAATGCCTCTTTCATCATGAGACATTTCTCCTAGCCTGCCTCAAATGCAGACACAGCGGCAAGCTACATTCCAGCAGCCTGCCTCCAGAGAGCAGACCTCTGCAGAGACACAGATACCTGTAGTTACTTCCAGCACACAAACTGAAACAATAAATAACAAAACCCAGGCTACTCCTGAAAAGACAATTTCTACATCTACTGAAAGCTTGAAAACAACCCCTTCAGAGAACCAAGCACCAAGTTCTGCATCTATAAAGCAACATGCAGCATCTGCCACAATGAATAGAGCTACAGGTGCTGTCGTACAAAGAAACACAGCACCCCAAGACACCAAGCAAGTATCAAGACGATGGATAGATGTGACTCCTCAAGCTGTGGAAGTTCAGGAAGAAGTCCACTCAGCCTTTTACACTATTGGGCCAACTCCACAACAGGAACAGCCCAAGATGAGTCCCCTCAAGAAAAATCAAGCCCTTCCTAGAGGACTCCAAGCCCTCCTGATCCTTCTCTCCTTTGTTCCACCATGAACTACCTTAGCCTTCTCAGTCCCAGACTGAATGCAGCAACCGGCAGAGAATGTCTGGATCACCCTAGCCAAAGCCACCAATACAGGCACAATGTGCCTTTCCCTCGATAGCGTGAATCACCCCTTTAAAAGCTGTCTCGTGGGTATACCTGACTGGAATAGGTTTATCCAGAACACTTCCCTTATAGATAATTTCCTTCCTTCTTCAAACACTATTTCCCAACTTCTCCTACGTCAAGGAACCTTAGAAACAGATGCCCAAGAATGAGATCTTTTAGGCTCGTCTGTAGCTACCACTTGCCTTAGATTTAAACCCACTACTAATCGCCTTACTCTAAAACCTAACCTATCCTCCAACTCTTCCATCTATACTAACACCACCACATAGTGTAATAACTCCCAACCTTATCCTCTTCCTACTGAAAGTTTCTCTCGACCCACTAAACTGCCTTCCACCTACTTTATCACCATAAACCAAGACAAAGGTTTTTCAGGTCTCTTTAGTTGGCTTCACTTTCCTTCCCTCTCTGATTGGGTCAACAAGATTGTCAAAGGAATAATCTTGTTCCTAATCATCACTTTCTCTATCCTTGTCTTCCTTCCCTGTCTAATTTTTTGTGCTAAAAAATCCATGACTAAGAGTTTTTCCCAAGCTTTTCCAGTCCTGAAAAACAAGAAAGGGGGATATGTAGGAGGTGGGACCAGCAGAAGCCTGCAGAGAAAGGAGCCTCTAGCAACAACAGCTGCCCAGAACTGCCTGAGACCCAGCTACAAGGAGCAGCCTCACAGACCTCTGCAGGATTCCCCCCTCCTGTTCCCCCAAGACCACACCTTCCCTTCCTCCCTAGCTATCCCTTCCCCCTGAATAAATAGACATATCCCGATAGGCCTATCTCTCCAAGTCCCCTTATCAGAAACCCTCTGGATTTGATGTTTCCTAGCAGAAACCCACCCCTGTACCAGAACTTTCTGTATCCCCCTGTATATAAACTCTCATCTTGTGTTAATAAATGCCATTTTGTGGGTCACATATCTCGTGTGTGTGTCCCGTCTCCCAATGCAAAATGTGCCTTGAGGTCTTGCAGCAGGTCTCCCCGAAACCTGCAAGAGCTGAACACCTGCCTGCCCATGGGAAATGGGGAATGAATTCCTAGTTTTGCTTTGCTTATGTGCACAGTTTTTGCTTTATCTACTAAACTGACTTTATCTCAAGTATTCCCACTGTTACT